CAACTTCGTTGGACTTGTCATGTTGTGCGGATGCCTGATGATCATCTTCCAAAGCAACTACTCTATTCTGAACTTAAAAATGGAAAACGTAATGCTGGTGGTCAACCAAAGAGGTTTAAAGACTGTCTCAAGGCAAATCTTAAAAAATGTAGTATAAACACTGACAACTGGGAAACACTGGCCTGCGAGTGCTCCAGTTGGAGAACAGCCTTTACCAAAGGTGTCATGGGCTTTGAAGACACTCGAACTCAGGATGCAAGGGAGAAACATGCTAAGAGGAAGGCACGCTTGGCAAATCCACACCGTGATCGATTCCCCCCCAGAAACCAATGACCCCACTGTGAAAGAACATGTGGATCCAGAATTGGCCTCCACAGTCACTTACAGATTCATTGTTAAAACCGTGTTTATGGAAGAGAATCTTACTCGGCTACTAGTGATCACCAAAGAAGAAGAGAAGAAGAAGAAGAAGAAGAAGATATAATAATTAATGAAACTCGATTCTTTGAAGCAAATATGGGAGGAAGACCAAAGGACTGGAACAGAACAGGCCAACTGGTGGAATAGGTGGGCAAAAAAACCAAAACAAAACCCATGCAGTCTCTTTCTACAAATCGCCAAAAACTTTCTTTCAAGTTGCATCATCGTTGGTACTTAATGCTAACCTTTTCCGTTCTTCTCCTTTCTGCTGGTGGAGATGCACTGAAATGGGACCATTACACAGATGTGGTGGAAATGTGATAAGGTTCAAACAACCATGGCTACTAGTCCTTATGGCTGTCCTCTACTTCCACAGTTGGAGGCAGCAACGCTTCCCAGTACCAACTGCTGGAAGCCACAGGAGGGAAGAATGTTCTTGTGTCCATGCTCTGCTCCCTGTTTTCTCACCGGTATCTGGCTAACCAGTGTAAGAACAGGATGCTGGACTAGATGGGCCATTGGTCTGATTCAACAGGTTATTCTTATGTATTCTGCTAAATATGTGCTTTCTACTTGGGATGTAGGGGGTGCATTGTTTATGTTTGCTTTTTTCGTTGATGTACCAAATACCTGGATGCCAGCGTGGTGTAGCAGATAAGAGCGGTAGACTCGTAATCTGGTGAACCGGGTTCGCTTCCCCGCTCCTCCACATGCAGCTGCTGGGTGACCTTGGGCTAGTCACACTTCTCTGAAGTCTCTCAGCCCCACTCATCCCACAGAGTGTTTGTTGTGGGGGAGGAAGGGAAAAGAGAATGTTAGCTGCTTTGAGACTCCTTTGGGTAGTGATAAAGTGGGGTATCAAATCCAAACTCTTCTTATCTCTGTGTCCTGAACCCTGGTGTACTCTGAGGTAAGTGCACACAGTCCCAAGGGCAACCAGTGGTCAAATACAGGTTCAGCTCCAATGCAATGAGACATGTTCAGAGTCAAACCACAAGGCCAGGTTCCCATCTTCAAAGAAGATCCAGCGTTAGAATCCTAGGGTCAGTCCTGTGGTGTTTCTGAAGCAGCCAGGCCATGGTCCATTAATGGAGAAAGTGTACTTCCTGCTGTTCCTGATGCCTCAGAGCCTGCCATGTTCGCAGAGATGGGGGCACCTCTCGTCCTGGTGATGTGTCCACTTCCCCTGGCTCCTGTGAACTGCCAGCTGCCCCTTTGACATCCTCTGATGTCCCTTGAGTACCTCCTAAGTCCTAGTCTCCCCTTTCCCATCTTCAGCTGGTTCTAGTGTGTACCGATTGTGGCTACACCCCTTGCCGGGATCTTCTTCTCCTTCCTCAGTCAGTGTCCTGCCAGTTCATGACACTCTGTAAGATCATAGAATCATAGAATCATAGAGTTGGAAGAGACCACAAGGGCCATCGAGTCCAACCCCCTGCCAAGCAGGAAACACCATCAGAGCACTCCTGACATATGGTTGTCAAGCCTCTGCTTAAAGACCTCCAAAGAAGAAGACACCACCACACTCCTTGGCAGCAAATTCCACTGTCGAACAGCTCTTACTGTCAGGAAGTTCTTCCTAATGTTTAGGTGGAATCTTCTTTCTTGTAGTTTGGATCCATTGAGTGAGGCGCAGGAAGAGAAATCAGAAGTGGATTTCGGTTGCATACATGGGTGGAGTTCGCTGCAAGTCACCCATCACGTGGATCCCTTGAATACCTTATTGAAAATTCAGAAATGTATATGTGTGTGTGTGTGTGCATAGAAACCTTCCGTTTTAATACAGAAAAAAGAGGACTTCTGGTATCCAAAGTGTAAAGGGTTCATTGCCTCTCCTTTCTTTCATCTGTGATAATGGAGAGCGTTTGAACATTACTTTACTCCTCTGTTTTATGCATTTCAACTCTGGTGAAGGTCTCTGCAATGAATCTCCTTCTGTTGCCATTCTGTTTAGTTTGCTAATTGCCCCCAAGGGATAATCCATCTTCTTCCCTAGGTGTTCAATTAGCCAAGATTTTGAGAGCTCCCACCTCCCATCCCTTTCAGCCTCCAAAGTCATCTTTCAGGAAGCAATATATTGTGTGCTCCGTTTAACATCTCTGGCTCCCTGCCCGTTCTGGAACTTAAATCCCCTTTATTGTGATGTGGGGACAAAGGATAAAGCAAATCTTAAAAAGCCGGAAGACAATCTAATGAATTCCTCTTTAAGGGTCATCCCCAGATTGTGTGCCTGGGAACACGAGTGTGACTTAAGTCTACCAAGAGAAATGCTTCAATTAAAGAACCAAGGTCCTGGGCCTGCCTCCTCCTAACTAGGCTCCTCTGCGGTCTCTCTCTGCACCTGGGGTGACCGACCGCAGTGGCTGGAGATACGACCAGTAGCCATCACCACTGAGCAGCTGATGCCGGAGAGGGAGTCCCATGTGGGTGTCACATGCCTCTTACAACAAACTTCTTCATGCATGTATTGTCCTCAGCTGTTGTGGCTGGTAGGACAGCATTGCTCACCCGGCTTCTCAACCCTGAGCATTGCTGCCAGTTACCCACAAGGAGAAGGGCAGGGGAGAGGCAGAAGGGAGCTCAGCACGGTTGGGGGTGTCAGGTGTGTTCTTCGTCTGTGCCCACCCCATGGCAACCTCCCTGATGCCTTGCCTCTCCTCCTCAGTAACCAGCTGAGACCCTGACCATACAGCCTATCAGAAAATATTGACACCATCTGAGATGTGTGTTCTGCGATTCATTTTTTGGTCCAATATTTCAACAGCTCTCTTTGATTCAGTACTTTCGTTATCGCCATTAAATTGTTCTGTTCTCCACACTTCACACTGCATAATAAAGGTTTTCTTTCCATTTCACTACAGTATGCTGTTGTGAAAAGTGAGAGACCCAGGCACAAGTTCATTCTTAAATTTCTGCCATAATAATAATAATAATAATACCTTTATTTTCAATGTAGAACCTGTGTACAGTGGTGCCTCGCAAGACGAAATTAATCCGTTCCACGAGAGTCTTCGTCTAGCGGTTTTTTCGTCTTGCGAAGCAAGCCCATTGACGGATTAGCGCTATTAGCGCTATTAGCGGTTTAGCGGCTATTAAAGGCTTAAAGGCTTAGGGGATTAGCTGCTAAAAGGCTATTAAAGGCTATTAAAGGCTTAGCAGATTAGATAAAGGGGGGGGGAAAGTGAAAAAAAAAATCTCAAGACTCGCAAGGTATTTTCGTCTTGCGAAGCAAGCCCATAGGGGAATTCGTCCTGCGAAGCAACTTCAAAACGGAAAACCCTTTCGTCTAGCGGTTTTTCCGTCTTGCGAGGCATTCGTCTTGCGGGGCACCACTGTACAATGAAATTAACCGAGCCTCCCTCCCACACACACAAACACTCAATCTCATTGCACTCTGTGTGCTTGTCGCACAACACACCAACCCCGAAAGTCAGTTGCACTATATTATTTTCCGTTCAGCAGCCTAACAGCCCACGGATAGAAACTGTTTTTTAGCCTGTTGGTGCGACTGATTATACTTCTATATCCTCTGCCCGAGGGTAGAAGATTAAAGAGGTGCTGGCCGGGGTGTGAATCGTCCCTGAGAATTTTTCTCGCTCTCCTAAGGCAAGGATCCCTTGTGACATCATCTAGTGGGCTCAGGGGACAGCCCATGATATCATGTGTTGTGTTCACCACCCTCTGTAAAGACTTTCTGTCCGTGGCTGTCAAGCCAATGTACCACACTGTGATACAATATGAGAGGACGCTTTCTATTGTGGACCGGTACCCCCCCCAAAAAAATAGGGACGCGGGTGGCGCTGTGGGTTAAACCACAGAGCCTAGGACTTGCCGATCAGAAGGTCAGCGGTTTGAATCCCTGCGACGGGGTGAGCTCCCGTTGCTCGGTCCCTGCTCCTGCCAACCTAGCAGTTCGAAAGCACGTCAAAGTGCAAGTAGATAAATAGGTACCACTCTGGCAGGAAGGTATACGGCGTTTCCGTGCGCTGCCCTGGTTCACCAGAAGCGGCTTAGTCATGCTGGCCACATGACCTGGAAGCTGTACGCTGGCTCCCTCGGCCAATAAAGCGAGATGAGCGCCACAACCCCAGAGTCATCCGCGACTGGACCTAATGGTCAGGGGTCCCTTTACCTTTATACATTCTGCTATGGACCTGAATCGAGCTAGACGTTTATATTTTAAAAACTGCAAATCAAACTTCCATCCATATTTTATTTCAGGGTTGGTACGCACTACATAAAGCATTAGACAACAGCACATAAATGGAGAGGAATAAAACTACTGGTACTTGGCTACTTCATCGTACAGTAATTTATAACAGCTGGACAAATAGAAAAGATTTTGACAATGTCGGAATTTGTAAGTGTCCTCATTCATGAGCAAATGAATGAAGTTCTCCCATGTCATGGTAGACACGATCCATTGCTAGCAGATAAAAAGTCTGCTTTTTTTCAACATGCATAACGCACTTCAGAAGGGCCACCCCTGATTATGCTATTGCATGGGCATGTTGTTACAGGAGAAGGCACTCCTTCAGAAATATGGGCCCCAAGGCGTTTAGGCCTCTAAAACAAAGTACCAGCAACTTCAGTTGGGCTTGGTAGTGAACTAGGAGCCAGTGTAATTCCTTCAGAACTGACAAAAAGTGGCTCCATGGAGCTAACCAGCCGAAATTCCAGCAGCCACTTTCTGTACTAGTTGAATCGTCTCCTTCTAAATTGTTTTGAAGGGCAGCCCAGTGTGTAATATATTACAATAATCTAACTTGGAGGCCAACAGAGAATAGATCATTGTAGCCGGGCTGTCGCTATCCCGGAAAGGCTACAACGGATGAACCAGCCAAAGCTGGTGAAGAAATGTTCTGTCATAGCCGGAATTTAATTAAATGTCTAGAGGATCCATTCAGATACAACAAGGGAAAAGGAGATACTTTTATTTTAAATACTTTCTTGTCATGTTCCAGGCAGGAGTCCCTGTTGCATTATGAGATAAATTCACATGAAACAATTCCTGTTTATCTTATTCATTAAAAAGTTCACCTTCCTGAGCTATGGAAAATCTACTAGCAGAATCTCTCCACATAGCAGCTGCTAAACCCTGAAATTCTCTTGTCTCCTTCCTGATCTAGAATGGCAGTCTCCTTCCTTCCTTCCTTTTCTTTTCTTATATTCCATTTGTGAATCATTTCCCATTAACATATCTCAAAGTGATTTCACAATTAAAACATCAACAAAATTAAAGCAATTAAAAACAATTCCATACATGTGTTTTTAATATTTTATTGGCAACCGCCCAGAGTGGCTGGGGCAACCCGGTTGGATGGGCAACAGATAAATAATAAAAATATTGTTGAAATAAATAAATAATAATAATAAATTGTCCAGTAGCACCTTAAAGACCAACTAAGTTTGTTCTGGGTATAAGCTTTTGTGTGCATTTTTATACCCAGAACAAACTTAGTTTGTCACTAAGGTGCTACTGGACAAAAATGTTGTTGTTGTTGTTGTTGCAATAATAGGCATCAATTCCGTATATAAAAACAATCAAAGTAAATTCCAGATATAAAAAATATATATAATCTAATAGAGATACAGAGTAGATTAAAACTCCCCCATTAAAAACCTTGTTGAAAATGGAAGGAGTTCAAGATGTACCCAAATGCCAGTTGTCCAATGTGCAAGTGAGGGCTTTGTTTGGGATCTGGTAGTTGTATTCTAGGACACGGGTGGCGCTGTGGGTTAAACCACAGAGCCTAGGACTTGCCGATCAGAAGGTCGCGGTTCGAATCCCCGCGATGGGGTGAGCTCCCGTTGCTCGGTCCCTGCTCCTGCCCACCTAGCAGTTTGAAAGCACCTCAAAGTGCAAGTAGATAAATAGGTACCGCTCTGGCGGAAAGGTAAATGGCATTTCCGTGCGCTGCTCTGGTTTGCCAGAAGTGGCTTAGTCATGCTGGCCACATGACCCGGAAGCTGTACGCCGGCTCCCTCGGCCAATAAAGCGAGATGAGCGCCCCAACCCCAGAGTCGGTCACGACTGGACCTAATGGTCAGGGATCCCTTTACCTTTACCTAGTTGTATTCTATGTCTCTGCTCTCCTACTATGAGTTAGTTAGTTTTTTTCTTCACCCATTTTGACTGACCTTCCATCAGAAAAGACCAAATCTAGACTGGCAATGGTTCACATAGTCCAGTCTGAGTCTCAAGGAAATTCTGGGGATTCAGAATTGAAAAATTCTAACACCTTGCACTCGGGTTGCCCAAAATGCATAAGAACGCAGGCCATTCCTTTAAGGTCTTTAAAAGGCTCTTTCTTCTTAGCCAATATCCCTTTCTTCACCCTTCCTTTTAATCTCCCTACCTTCCTAGTCCTAAAGAAAACTACTGTATCTAGAAAGCTTTAATCCCAGACTGGCAAATTCCCATTCCCTTGTAGAAACCGAACTGCACTATTCTGAAAAAAATTGTTTTCTGAGCAGTTGGGATCTTTATGAACATTCTAAACCATCACATCAGTTCAGCTGCCTTGTCGCAACGACAATGCAATATATATACCATGTAGATATAATGTTCCTTGGTTAGAAAAATATTAAGGCATATTGTTTTTATTTTATTTCACTTCCATGTATCAGAATTTGATATGGGGTTTGGTGAATTTCCTTTTCTGATAGTGTCTTTATTGTGGAAAAAAATTATTGCCCCATCTTTAGTTAACTTTATTCATTAGTCTTATTATTCTATATCTAATCTATCTAATATATTTTTATTGCATGATAAAAGCTGTCATCCAGGAAATTGCTTCCTCAGTAGGCAAATTTACTGCAACAATGATGTATTTGAAATTAATTCCTCCATTTTACAGACTACTCTCAAATTGCCTGGCTAAGAGAGCAAAAAGAACAACAGCAGCTAATTAATACTTGAAAAAATTGTGAATTTTTCATTAGAACGAGTTTTTCATAAATTGAATCACATTTTAAGGAATCTCCTAACTATAAAAAGAAAAAAGCTCTAGTCAGCTGCATTGGTACTGGATACTATCCGGAGAAATTTAAGTATGTTGTGCAGCCTAATTGTGTGCATGTTTACTCAAAAGTAAGTAAACACACTGGTGCTTACTCCTAAAGCAATGAAAAGCACAGCACAAGTGAGCACTTATTCAAGCATTCTCAGAATTGTATTCAGCCACTCGGTCTGATCGGAAGCTGTTTGCCCATGAGAACAGAATATTGTGAACCTCCCCAGCTTGATCCAACAGGTAGCCTTTTAAAAGGCTGAAATCTGACCTCAGCAGGTAGTTGGGTGACGAAGCGAGAAAGTAGCCTTCTCTCCATCTGAAATTATTCCTGGATTTTTGAGTTCTCAATTACTGCTCCAGTTTCAAAAGTAAGATGCATTAGTAGGGATGACAGAGGGATTTTTTTTGGTCTGAATTTTGAAATGAGCTCTTCTGATCTGCACCTCCTAGACTAACAAGCAAATTGGGACGCAGTTCTGTTTTGGAGTGTGCATCTTTTTGCCACCATTAAAATGCACCTTGTATCTTTAAACTTGGCTTTAGCTGGCAACCCTAATAGACAGAAGCACTAGGGCTAATGTGCATTTGGCCACCTAGTATATTAATGTGTCTTAGAGACATTTATGTTTATGATATAGTCATATACTGTGCTTTAAAAACATGTATCAAATCTCTTTATTCTATCCTTTTAAAAGTTAAGCAAACTGTGTTTTTAATCCATTTGGACTGAAAACCTAAATTTTGGAAGAACCCACATGAGAAATGGGTTGCACTTGGAAGAAAGGACGGATTACAGTTCAGAGAAGAAGAACAGAAATCCAAAAAGGAAACACATGTCTACAAGCCTTGCCTTTTCTCTGTTTATTAGACTCTGGCATTCCCTCCCTAGAGAAGCCAGACTGGTTCTCTCCTTGTTGTCCTTCTGCCAGGCAGCTGAAGACTTCTTTGTTCCAACATGCTTTTGGGAACCAACTACTTTTAAAGTAAGGGCTGTTGCTCTGCTGTTTTATTGTAATTATTGATGTGGTTAAATAGTTTTTATGTAAGTGTATATAGTTTTACTTTTAAAAATGTTTCATTGTTTTTTAATGATTTCTTCCCTATGTTTTTAGCAGTTCTCATTTTTATATGTAGGTTGCCTTGAGTTCCATCAGAGAAAAAGGTGAGGTATCAATAAATATAAAATAATAATAGTCCAGAGGAGGGCAACCAAAATGGTCAAAGGCCTGGAAACGATGCCTTATGAGAAACGGCTAAGGGAGCTGGGCATGTTTAGCCTGGAGAAGAGGAGGTTAAGGGGTGATATGATAGCCATGTTCAAATATATCAAAGGATGTCACATAGAGGAGGGAGAAAGGTTGTTTTCTGCTGCTCCAGAGAAGCGGACACGGAGCAATGGATCCAAACTACAAGAAAGAAGATTCCACCTAAACATTAGGAAGAACTTCCTGACAGTAAGAGCTGTTCGACAGTGGAATTTGCTGCCAAGGAGTGTGGTGGAGTCTCCTTCTTTGGAGGTCTTTAAGCAGAGGCTTGACAACCATATGTCAGGAGTGCTCTGATGGTGTTTCCTGCTTGGCAGGGGTTGGACTCGATGGCCCTTGTGGTCTCTTCCAACTCTATGATTCTATGATTCTATGATTCTAGTAATAATATTTTTGCTTGTTACAGGATCTCAAGCCCAGGTCCTGTGTGTGTGTGTGTGTGTGTGTGTGTGAGAGAGAGAGAGAGAGAGAGAGAGAGAAAGAATACCCCATCCTCTGTGTGTTCTTGCAGTGTTTGTTTGAAATGCATCCCTGTATTCTTTGTTGTCAGCTACTTTGAGCGTAGGACTTGCCGATCAGAAGGTCAGTGATTCGAATCCCCACAATGGGGTGAGCTCCCATTGCTTGGTCCCTGCTCCTGCCAACCTAGCAGTTCGAAAGCACGTCAAAGTGCAAGTAGATAAATAGGTACCACTCCAGCGGGAAGGTAAACGGCGTTTCTCTGCGCTGCTCTGGTTTGCCAGAAGCGGCTTAGCCATGCTGGCCACATGACCTGGAAGCTGTACGCCAGCTCCCTTGGCCAGTAAAGCGAGATGAGCGCCGCAACCCCAGAGTCGGCCACGACTGGACCTAATGGTCAGGGGTCCCTTTAACTTTTTACTTTGAGTGTAATTTTTGTTTGTGTGGAAAAGCGGAATACAAATAAAATGAACGAATGAATGATGAGGTCCTGCGCAAGTGCCTGTTTTCGAAAAGACAACTCACAAGAAGCACTAGGAGAAGCTAAACATTAGGAAGAACTTCCTGACAGTAAGAGCTGTTCGACAGTGGAATTTGCTGCCAAGGAGTGTGGTGGAGTCTCCTTCTTTGGAGGTCTTTAAGCAGAAGCTTGACAACCATATGTCAGGAGTGCTCTGATGGTGTTTCCTGCTTGGCAGGGGGTTGGACTCGATGGCCCTTGTGGTCTCTTCCAACTCTATGATTCTATGATTCTATGATTCTAGTAATAATATTTTTGCTTGTTACAGGATCTCAAGCCCAGGTCCTGTGTGTGTGTGTGTGTGTGTGTGTGAGAGAGAGAGAGAGAGAGAGAGAAAGAATACCCCATCCTCTGTGTGTTCTTGCAGTGTTTGTTTGAAATGCATCCCTGTATTCTTTGTTGTCAGCTACTTTGAGCGTAGGACTTGCCGATCAGAAGGTCAGTGATTCGAATCCCCACAATGGGGTGAGCTCCCATTGCTTGGTCCCTGCTCCTGCCAACCTAGCAGTTCGAAAGCACGTCAAAGTGCAAGTAGATAAATAGGTACCACTCCAGCGGGAAGGTAAACGGCGTTTCTCTGCGCTGCTCTGGTTTGCCAGAAGCGGCTTAGCCATGCTGGCCACATGACCTGGAAGCTGTACGCCAGCTCCCTTGGCCAGTAAAGCGAGATGAGCGCCGCAACCCCAGAGTCGGCCACGACTGGACCTAATGGTCAGGGGTCCCTTTAACTTTTACTTTGAGTGTAATTTTTGTTTGTGTGGAAAAGCGGAATACAAATAAAATGAACGAATGAATGATGAGGTCCTGCGCAAGTGCCTGTTTTCGAAAAGACAACTCACAAGAAGCACTAGGAGAAGCTAAACATTAGGAAGAACTTCCTGACAGTAAGAGCTGTTCGACAGTGGAATTTGCTGCCAAGGAGTGTGGTGGAGTCTCCTTCTTTGGAGGTCTTTAAGCAGAGGCTTGACAACCATATGTCAGGAGTGCTCTGATGGTGTTTCCTGCTTGGCAGGGGGTTGGACTCGATGGCCCTTGTGGTCTCTTCCAACTCTATGATTCTATTCTAAGCTCTGGCTGCTGAGGCAGCTGCAGCAAGAACTCTTGAAAGCAGGAAGCCCACCTTGCCCAGGTGCCTATAAATTCCCAGTCCACAGCTGTTGGGGATCCATAGGGTGCAATGCAACAGCCTGTCACTCTGTGAAGGTGCTTCAGGGATTCAGATCTAGGGAAGCAACTCCGTGTGCTGTGGGGGATCCCATGAACTGCTGCTGTACCAGAATGCTGAAAATAGTCATAAATTTAGGCATACTGGACAAGTGAAATCTTCCTTCCCCAGGAGTATGATGGAAGGAAATTCCCTGCAGTTCCTACATGTGGCAGTACTGTTTACACCCTACTTGTACCTCTTATGTGACAACACAGAGGTGATGTATTTTAAATCTTTTGTTGGAAGCGGCCCAGAGCAGCTGGGGAAACCCAACCAGATGGGCAGGGTATAAATATATTATTATTATTATTATTATTATTATTATTAACCACATTCAGCCAGGGTTTTGCAGTATTTTGCCAATGTGAAAAACAGTAAGCGTGACAGTCACTATCCTGAGCACTTTGCAGATTTCGAAGTTGAAGCCCATTTCTCTATCCTCGCATCAGTAATTTCTCTTATTTCACCAGGATTAAAAACTTGCAGAAAAAGCTTTCCAGAAATTGTTCTTTTCCCCTCCAAAAGTATACGGCTACTAGGAAAATCCAGTTCCAGTCAAATCTATCTGTTTGGGAAGCTGATGTGCATTACCAAAATCCTTTCCACAGGATGTTATTGCATACTGGAGCCCATTCTCCTTGGTTTGGCCTCTGGGTACTGGGGTCCCCAATTGCTGGAAATCCCACCAGCTGCCATTTAAACTCAAATAAAGATTGATGCTGAATTCAATTAATATGAGTCAACATGATTCCTGCATTGCAGGCAGTTGGACCCGCAAGGTCCCTTCCAACTCTTCCAAGTATAATGTTCAGATCAATAGAAGTACAGTGGTACCTCGGGTTACAGACGCTTCAGGTTACAGACTCCGCTAACCCAGAAATAGTACCTCAGGTTAAGAACTTTGCTTCAGGATGAGAACAGAAATTGCGTGGCGGTGGCACAGCAGCAGTGGGAGTCCCCATTAGCTAAAGTGGTGCTTCAGGTTAAGAACAGTTTCAGGTTAAGAACGGACCTCCGGAACGAATTAAGTTCTTAACCCGAGGTACCACTGTAACAGGGATGCGGGTGGCGCTGTGGGTTAAACCACAGAGCCTAGGACTCGCTGATCAGAAGGTCAGCGGTTCAAATCCCTGTGATGGGGTGAGCTCCTGTTGCTCGGTCCTTGCTCCTGCCAACCTAGCAGTTCAAAAGCACCTCAAAGTGCAAGTAGATAAATAGGTACCGCCCTGGTGGGAAGGTAAATGGCGTTTCCGTGCGCTGCTCTGGTTCGCCAGAAGCGGCTTAGTCATGCTGGCCACATGACCCGGAAGCTGTACGCTGGCTCCCTCAGCCAATAAAGCGAGATGAGCGCCGCAACCCCAGAGTCGGTCACGACTGGACCTTTACCTTTACCGCTGTAACATGCTGTTCTGCTTTGGTGATCACACCTGGAGTACTGTGTCCAGTTCTGGGCACCACAGTTTAAGAAGGCTATTGAAAAGATGATGAACATGTGCAGAGAAGGATGAGCAAGATGGTCAAGGGTCTGGAAAGCAAGCCTTATGAGGAGCGGTTGAGGGACCTGTTTTGCCTGCAGAAGAGAAGACTGTGAGGTGGTAAGAAAGCTGTCTTTAAATATCTAAAGGTCTGTCACATGGAAGATGGCACAAGCTTGCTTTCTGCTGCTCCAGAGGGTAGGACCCAAAGCCACGGATTCTAATTACAAGAAAGGAAATTCCAACTAAACATTAGAAAGAACTTTCTGATGGCAAGTACTGTTTGACAGTGTAACTGACTATGTCAGAAGGTAGTGGCCTCTGCTTCATTTGAGGTTTTTTAACCAGATGTTGGACAGCCATCTGTCATGGATGTTTTAGCTGTGGTTCCTGGCATTGCAGGGGGTTGGACTAGATGACCCTCAGGGTCCCTCCCAACTCAATTATGATTCTAGAATTTGCTCAGAGTAAGGCTTCTCTGAGTCAGACACATCTGACATGGAAGATGCTCCACTGTCACCTCACTAAAGCCAACATTCATATTTGTGGTGTTTATAAGTGTGCTATTAATAAAGCCCTCGCATTAGTACTATATTCAGTTTCAGGGCCAGCTATTTCCTGGCATAGCTGTCAGAGGGAAATGTTTTTCCCAAGCTGGATCTGGCCCAGACCTATCAGGAGCTGTCAACGGATGATGCCACCGTTGATGCCCAGATCATCGCCATTCATTGTGGAACATTCGGAGTAAAATGACTCCTGTTCAGAACGCCTGGCATTTTCCAGCATTGAATAGAAGTCATTCCTAAGGGAATACCTAGTGTCACAACCACACCATAGCTGAATGGTGCCTCGACTGCTGGCAGATCTATTGACTAGCTCGTGATTTCGGTGTGGAGGGCGAGGCACTGTTTTGTTGAGTTATGCATGAGAAATGCATGTTTGGCATCTCCCAGGTTGAATTCCTTGGCTACACTGTTGGTACAAAGAACATTCCCTCTACCCCCAGCAAAATGGAAACAGGAACTCCAAGCTTCCTTTGGGCTTTTGAATTTTTCATCACACATTCCTGCAGCATAACGTTACGGAGACGGAAGCGTTGCATTGCCTACTTGACAAACATATCGTATGGCAGTGGGGCCAGCCAGCCTGGTTAGACTTTTCCACAGCACAGAGCTCTTCTTATCATCTGACAGTATCATGGCCCACTGTGAAGAGCAGAAGACCCCAATTCTCATGCATGATATGTCTTCATATAAGGTATTGGGGCTGTTCTGAGCCACCAGCCTGACAACTCTCTTTTTTTTACCAGTAATATGTATTAATTTTCATCAATAAACATAACAAAAGAAAAGAAAAAAATTATACAACACAATAGAAAGGTGAAAAAGAAGAAAAAAGAATTACAAACTTAAAATACATAAACAGGAAAAAAGAAACTCAATTAGTTAATTAAAATCCATTTTCATGAACATTTTGCTTGACTTCCTCTAATCTCCTTCATCTGAATTTCCTCTTAATTTGAATGTAGCAGTTTCCAATGTCATTATTACATAAAACAATATTACGGTCGTATTCCAGTTTCTTTACCTTTCTTATAGTACTTTTTCTTATTTATATATTTAAGTCTAATTTAATCCTAGGCCTGATTGGTTCTTTCAAGTGGTTACATATCTTTAATATTAGAATATTTGTTCAAATAGTCTTTGAATTTCTTCCACCAGCCTGACAACTCTCATAAGATCCCCATTGCTTTCTAGAATCACAGACTTGGGAGTTATCTCAAAGGTTATCTCTACCCCGTGCCAATGCATTTGATGTAACTTTCCCGGATAGAACAGTTTGTACTGTGGGAGTTAACCAAGGCAAAGCAGGAGTTGAGCAGTTCTGCCCTCTAATCTTCCCCAACTAAGATTTCTCCAACTTTTCCACTCAAGAAGTTCTTGTTCTTCCTCTGAACATTGCATCCACATAATTTTTGCTGCATTTAACATTCTACTGATGATTAAGATCTCCAGTGGACCAGAATGATACTCAAGTTGGAAAGGGGACCCTGTTGTTGTGCCTCGTGCTAAAAAAAATCCACAATTGTGTCCATGGTTGGCTGTTCATTCTTGCAACCATTGGTGTGATGGGCTTCTAACCAGCAAATGCTTCAAATATCATATCCACACCTGATGTGGAAGGCAGTTGTCTTGAATGCGTACAACTATATCCTACAGCAGGGGTCAGCAAACTTTTTCAGCAGGGGGCTGGTTCCTCAGACCTTGTGGGAGGCCAGACTATATTTGGAAAAAAAATATGAAGGAATTCCTATGCCCCACAAATAACCCAGAGATGCATTTTAAATAAAGGGGCACATTCTGTTGGTTTCTATTTCCCTCACTGAGCAGCAACTGCAGTCACAAGACATTGTTTTACATTCCACAGTCTGTACTGTTGGAGTTTCTCACGGGAAAGGGAGACTGGATGTGACGTACACTGGTTTCCTGTTTTTCACTCTGTGTGATTCTCTCCGAGCTGAGAGAGGAGAGAGGATGCATTTTCTGCTCCTGCAGAGGCAAGATGTCTTTCTGTAATATACCAGCTTTGAACTGTAAATAAAGCAATATAGAGTATGTAACACATTTTCCTCATCCTTCCGCTGGCCAACAGACTCTGCTTAAATCAACACGTGGTTATGGGCTCCAGGAGTCGAATCGGAGTGCCGGCAGAGGATCGGAATGCAGAGGGACGGATCGGAAAGGAATCTGCTCTGCGCGTAGAAGTGATTGATGAGGTATGTGCTACTGCTCCGGGCAGCCTGCCAGCTTCAAGTTAATGGCTTTATGGCTGGACTTTGAACTTTTAAAGCCGGTTTTGCCGGGAAAAGGCAAAAGGCTCCCAGGCACAAGTCACTATGCTGGGGAAATCGAAGTAACTTTTAAGTGTGCCTTTGTGATAAGGCAGCTGCAGCAGTGACGCAGCAAGATTTAAAGCAGCATATGACGCTGAAGGCTAATGCCAGAGTCATGATGGCCCTTCAGGATGCTTGTGGGATTCCTAAGCTCAACAAGAAAAATTACAGCGACTGGGTTCAGTATGCAGAGGCAATTCTGCGGAAAGAGGGTTTGTTTGAGGTGATTACAGAAACCCCCAGTTCCAGTTACAGATGCATGGGAAGCTAAGGATTCCAAAGCAAGGGGAACTCTTACATTGATAGTATCCCCAGAAGAGCTCTGTCTATTGCGTGATAAGACCTCAGCCAGAGAAATTTGGGACGCTCTGAGAGAGGCTCATTTAAGGACAGAAGCTGGATCTACTATGTTTTACTTTAACAAGCTGCATAATATGGCTCTTGCTGAAGGTGGAGATGTGCGTTTACATCTAATGGAGATGCAAAATCTAAGACATGAGCTGCAACAGAGAGGACTCAACTTTCCAGAGGCTGTGTATTCTTTCATGATACTACAATCTTTGGGTTCAGGTTGGGAGTCTGTTGCAACCCAGATTGCTGTGCAACCAACTGCTCAGCTGACAGTGGACTTTGTTACTGCCGTGATTTTAAATGAAGCAGATCGCCGGGGTGCTAGCTGCATGGGCAAGGGAGAGTCTTCACAGACGTCATCCCATAGTGCAGTGGAACCACCAGATGGCGCCAAAGCTTTGAAGGCAGTCAAATGCTACTCGTGTGGACGTCTAGGCCATATGAAGAGGGAATGCAGACATCCCAGGGCCAAGACAGAGCAGCGCAGCGAAAGCTCATCGCGCGGAAAAGGCCGAGGCAAAGGCAAAGGTCCGGTGTCTAGGACAACGCAGCACAAGGCTATGGTTTCACGCTTCACTCCAAAGGTTGCAGAGGTCCAGAAGACGTCTAGATCTTTCTTCGTTGTTGATTCAGCGGCCACCCACCACATGTGCAACGATAAGAAACTGTTTGTGTCTTTTACACCGCAGGAAGGTGCGATTCACCAGGCGGATGACCACACTATTCCCAGTAAAGGCTACGGAACTGTTGTTCTTCACAGTTTGGACTTATCGATACAGAATGTGCTTTACGTGCCAGACGCCAAACATAATCTGCTCAGCGTTGGACAGCTGAATGAGCGGAACATTGACGTTTCCTTCAAGAACAAGAAGTGCATCATCACAAAGAAAAATGATTATGTATTGCATGCAGAATATGTTGATCATTTGTTTGTTTTGTATTATGATGATGTGGTGCAGGATGACACTTGTTGCATTGCAGGTTCTAACAAAAGTTTGCATGCAGAATGTATTCACGATTTTCATCGCAAATTTGGTCATTTGCATTTTGAGGCAGTATCTAAAATGCCTGCCTTGGTTGAAGGTATGACTATTAAACCCTGCAAGTACCACATGAAGTGCAAAGCATGCGCAGCAAACAAGGTGAAAATGGCTGCGAAAGGTAAGGTGTCTAGTAGGAAAGCTACAGAACCATACCAGGTTGTTCATGCTGATTTGGTTGGACCACTATCGCCCTCTTTGGGTGGAAATAGATACTTCATGGTTCTCATTGATGCATTTTCTAGATATATTTTTGTGTACAATCTCAAGCAGAAATCGGAGGCTTTTCCTAGGTTCAAGGAATTCTGTGCTTGGTTGGAAAATGTGCATGGTAAGAAGATAAAGACTCTTTTCAGTGATCGCGGGGGAATTCACTTCTCAGCAGTTTGAAGCTTTTCTGACTGAGAAAGGAATTCAACACGATTTGTCTAGTCCTCGCTCGCCATGGCAGAATGGACTTGCGGAACGGGCAAATCAGACATTGCTTCAAGGGTTAAAGACCTTGCTGCATGATGCCAATCTTCCAGAGAGTTATTGGGCCGAATCTCTCTCGTGTTTTGTTTACAGTTACAATCGCAGGCTATCTTCAGCGATTGGTTGTACCTCTATGAGAAGATGTTTGGCAAGAAGCCATACATCAAACACATGAAGATTTTTGGTTCTGACATGTGGGTTCACTCACCACAAAACTCCAAGTTAGACAAGCGTGGATTGCATGGTATCTTTCTAGGTTATCAGAAAGGGTCTTACAGAATAATGATGACTGACTCTAAGACAATTAAGCTCACGAGAAGTGTTGAGTACAATGCAAAGTGGGGGAGAATGTGGGAATTTTCCAATGTTATCCTGATGACGGTGATGAGACTGAGGATAGTCAAAAGCAACCACAACAGCCCACACCCACTGATGAAGGTTCTGAGTCTGAATCTGAAACTGAATCGGGTGATTCAGAGGATTTCAAGAGTGCGAAAGCCTCTATGCGACCCTCTGAAAGCTCTGATCAAGAATTGGAGGAACCATTGTTCACAATAGGTCGTTTTTCTCCTAAGAAGGAAGAGGAGAGTGTTGAAGACTTAAGGATAATTCGTAGGTCACAGAGAGCCACAAAAGGCAAACCTCCAAAGAGATTTGCTGATGAGTTTGCTACGATAGCAGTAACAGCTGTTAAAAGCTCCAAGAAGGTATTTGAACCTTCAAGTTTCCAAGAAATCCAGGGTTTGGATTCAAAGGAAGCTGAGCCATGGTTAAATGCCATGAAGGCTGAGCTTGATTCCTTAGAAAGGAACAAAACATGGGAACTAGTTCCAGTAGTTCCAGGAATGAAACTGCTTGGAAGCAAATGGGTCTTCAAAGCGAAGACAGATCAAAATGGCAAGATAGTCAGACACAAAGCCAGATTGGTAGCCAGAGGTTTTGCACAGGTACCAGGTGAAGACTATCACGAGACCTATTCACCCACAGTGAGATATGAAAGCATTAGGCTTATGCTTAAGCTAGCTGCAGAGGAAAATCTACACATTAGTCACCATGATATTAATACAGCTTTTCTGTACGGATCTCTAGATGAATCACTTTATATGCTTCCACCTGATGGCGTACAGGTAAAACAGGGATTTGTTTGTGCTCTGAAGAAATCCCTTTATGGTCTCAAACAAAGTGCACGGTGTTGGCACACAAAACTCACTGAAGTATTGTTTTCTCTAGGTTTTCAGCAAGGGAAAGCTGATCCATGTGTATTTGTCAAAGAGGAGGGGCAAAAGAAACTGTACTGTTTGTTTTATGTTGATGATTTATTATTCTTTTGGAAAGATGTCGCAATGTACAATAACGCCCTAGCTCAACTGAAAGAGCACTTTGACATGAAAGATCTTGGTGAGGTAAACAACTACCTATCTCTGGAAATAGAGAGAGATCAAGATGGTAACATTCTAGTACACCAGTCACGGAAAATTGCTGATGTGTTAAGCAAACTAAATCTGATGGATGCTAACCCTGTAGACACACCGATGACAACAGGTTATCAGGTAGATGACACTGAAGAAGCATTTTCTGACACTACACTGTACAGGAGTGTGCTAGGCAAGCTAAACTTCATTGCCAGATGTTCAAGACCAGACATTGCTGTTAGCTGTAATTTGCTAAGCAGACAAGTCAACAATCCTAGTGTCAAGGATTGGAAAGCTCTGAAACGCATAGCGCGGTATTTGAAAGGCACTATGCATTACAGACTGAGATTTAACAATCAGAAGTCTGGTGGTCTTGAGATATTTGCAGATGCAAGTTTTGGAAGTGACACTACAGACAGGAAAAGTACGTCTGGAGTTTGCTACATGTACAATCAGGGTCTGTTTGATTGGTCATGCAAGAAGCAAACAACAGTTAGCTTAAGTACTTGTGAAGCCGAACTGAATGCACTGTCTTATTCACTTAAGGATTGTGAATGGTTAGTACAATTGTGCAAAGATATGAAAATTCCTGTCAAATGTCCAATCCAGGTTTACCAGGACAACAAAGCATGTTTGGCTTTGCTGAAGTCTGAAGGTTGTAAGCAAAGCACAAAGCACTTGCAATTAAAGTTGCAGCATGCTAGGGAATGTATTCAGAAGGGACTCGTAACGGTGTCCTATATGCCAGGTAATGAAATTCCTGCTGATGTATTGTCCAAGATTGTATCAAGGGATCAACACTGTACCTATGTGCAGAAGTTGGGTTTGTACTGATACTGTACGAACACGCTGCCCAGTGATGTTCACAGAAAGGGGAGGATGTTGGTTTCTATTTCCCTCACTGAGCAGCAACTGCAGTCACAAGACATTGTTTTACATTCCACAGTCTGTACTGTTGGAGTTTCTCACGGGAAAGGGAGACTGGATGTGACGTACACTGGTTTCCTGTTTTTCACTCTGTGTGATTCTCTCCGAGCTGAGAGAGGAGAGAGGATGCATTTTCTGCTCCTGCAGAGGCAAGATGTCTTTCTGTAATATACCAGCTTTGAACTGTAAATAAAGCAATATAGAGTATGTAACACATTTTCCTCATCCTTCCGCTGGCCAACAGACTCTGCTTAAATCAACACATTCTACTCATGTAAAAACACGCTGATTCCCGGACCATCTGCGGGGCCAGATTGAGAATGTTAAGTTGTGGGTGAACATATCAGACGACACAGCGATTCTTCAAACAGCTCTTGTTTATTCCGAGGCCAGAACTGAACTGAACTGAGGAGCTCAGTCAGCCTGCTTATATAGAGCTTCAGAACAGTGTAACTGTTGCAACTTTCTAAAACTATCCAATCACTGAACGTCACTTTCGATCTTTCATTTGCATACAAACTATCCAATCACTGAACGTCACCTTCGATCCTTCATTTGCATAACTATCTACAGTATCCCCCTGCTAGCCCAGGGTGAGAACTTCAGTACATAACAGAGAAGGCGATTGGGCCGGATCTGGCCCCCAGGCCTTAATTTGCCTACCCACGTCCTACAGCACCAACCCAGCAAGAATGCTCTGAGCTACCTCCCTTTCTCATCTGCTGTTGGGAATTATTACCTGAGCCACCCTTCTACGAGATATATATCATTAACCTCATAATCCGATGATCCAGTTCTAGCACGTGCTCTCAAACAGGTGTGGAGGGGCTGGCCACCAAGAAACCTGAGAGGAAATTCAGGCCATTTGTATCTAAACAACATGATCTATCAGCAAACAAGAGAAAACAGTCTTTCTCCCCATGGTTTTCTGGTATGATGTGTTGGACACCCTGGCAGGAACGCCAAGCTTCCTTTGGGCTTTTGAATTTTTATCTCACACCCCTGGAGCAGAACGCTATATCAAAAGCTAGCAAACATTCATGTCCCCATGAAGCGAAAGTTAACACACCCTGCTCACACTGGCAATGAAAGTGCACACAGATTTAACATTTATTGCACTTAAAGAGGAGTAATGCACATATCTGCTGATCGGCTATTCATTCATTAGTAGCCGTTTAGTAGGGCATTAGATTTCAATAGGTGCAGCTATAGCATGGTGATACCTGAAGGAGCTTCTCCACCCCCCTCGTTCTGCCCGGATGCTGAAGTCCAGCGCCGAGGGCCTTCTGGCAGTTTCCTCACTGCGAGAAGCAAAGCTACAGGGAACCAAGTAGAGGACCTTCTCAGTAGTGGTGCCCGCCCTGCGGAACGTCCTCCCACCAGATGTCAAGAGAACAACAACTACCTGACATTTAGAAGACATCTGAAGGCAGCCCTGTTTAGGGAAGCTTTTAATGTTTAATAGGTTATTGTATTTTAATATTCTGTTGGAAGCCGACCCAGCCAGATGGGTGGGGTACAAATAAATTATTATTATTATTATTATTATTATTATTATTATTGAGGAAGTGTCTCTCACACCCATCCACCATGGCATCTGTCTCAAGATACAAAGGAGTGTGTCTCAGGGGGTGAAGTCAAACCATTGTGTTAGCAGCACCAAAGTCACCTCCCCGGGGCGCAAGCCTGGGCAGTGTATCTGGCGGTCCTGGGCTCCCCAGACAACAAGACCCCCCTCTCGGCCTCACTGATGTAGTCCAAAGGAAAGCAGAGAAATACATTTGGCACCAGCTTGGATGCAGCAGTTGCTGG